AGTTCTTACCTTCTTCTCTCTCCCATACCCCCTCTTTGGTTGATGCAGCTATTTTCATATTGGTAAGTATTCTTAATTAGTCTTAAGTATGTGTGTCTGTCTCCTCCTACCACACATAAAGCTTTAAGGAAGACTGCCATTTTTTAATCCCCTACCACTGCATGAACAGTAGGAGTTAATGCATAGCAGAATAATGATAAACAACATTCACTTTATTGTTGGGCACAGCCAGTTGCAGGCTATAAAGATTTTGGCAGAATGGGAAACCTGTTCTTACCTGCAACCTGGTTTTAAGAGCAGTTTTCACATCATAGGGAATAAAACTAATGCATGAGAATCAAATGCTTTATTATATCATTTATTCAGCTTTCCTAGATCCTGGATGCAACTCCAATATTCATTTTGTCCATGACTACCCCCTCCAACTACCATATTTCTATTTCAACTGAGAATTAACCATTTTCTAATGACTATCAAGTGGCTAATGTATACCATGAGTCAGTATATACATAGCATAAATAGTACGAAGTGTCAAAGTATGTGTCACTTTATCGTGTTTCTCTCTCTTATTTTTATGTGACTATTATATGAAACTGTTCAGTCACCTCATATATAGATCTGTATGTGCTCAATCATTATTAATAAACATCATCACAATGCTGGGTCTAGGTGTCTCTATGTCATGGAAGAGGCAGAACTGAAATCCCAATTCCAATACTAGTTTTAACAAAAGTTGGTATGTGTTCCTGTTCAACAAAATTTCAGTTAAGATGTTAAACCACCCAAAAGTCATTTGAGGGAATGTTCTCTCCGCTGCCAAGTAAAAGACAGTATGGATAAATATCACAAATACGATAACCTACATTGGGTCTCCGGATCTTATATGTTTGCAGGCTGTCTGTATTACAGATTCACAAGCTTCATTCAAAGCTCGATCAATGCGGTAATCTGCACCAGGGTCAGTCTCCTGAATCAGTGTTTGAAGCTGGATTTTAAAAAATTAAAAAGGAAGAAAGAAAATAAATTAGACAGCAGGGAAGAGCAGTGTCATCTCTTCACACAATCAGTTGCTCAGTCTTATATCACAAGGTACTCTAACAAGGCATCCTACAGTTGTAACTTGCCAAACTTAAGAGCTCTTGCCAAACACTTTCCAACTGGTTTCTCCAACTTATTTGCAAGTTTTTCTGTTTCAGTTATTGTAAGGATTGCTTATCTACCTGTTCTGAACTAATCTTGGACATGTACAAAACAACGGGTCTTTACAATATGAATATGAAGGCTGCCACTTCCCTCTCATCTGTGTACTTGTTAATCAGATTACTAAACCAACACTCAGGGGCAAGCCATAATTGAGAGGAAAAGAGTAAATAGAGACATTTCCAGTTAGAGAGCTAATTGGCTCATGAGAATCTAGAATTCAAATTTTGATGCAAAGACACTGGGTATTCAATCAAGTGTGCAGTGCTTATTAAAAGCAGATGTGAGATTTCATTTAACTTGCAGAAATACCAGTTACAAAAACTAACATTATAACACTTGTGATTTCCCATTTTTCCTCAACTATTTTATAAAACTAGGAGGTAAACCCAAGCTTGCTTATTATAAGCATATAGAAAAATACTTTGCAAGATGTCTGTAATGAATGGCAAATAAATAAATGAATGAATGAAAGGAAAAACACTTATCATCATGCATTGAAAATGAGAATATACTCTTTATCATTTACTTTTGCTTGATCCATCATTTGTCATAGAATAAAGGAAAGGCATGAAAATAGGTGCTTCACATCTTTTTTCCTGTCTTTGAGGAGAAGACAGTTGGGGCATAGAGGAAAAAGTTCTAAATTATGGATCAGAGGACCTGAGTTCTATTAATAGTTCTGGCTCTGCTAGATATTAGCTTTGAGAACATGGACAAGTTGATTCATCTCTAAGTTTCAGTTTCTTTAACGGCAGAAAATTATAAGATACGATAATATGGGTGAACATCGGATAAACTGAAAAGTATTTTATAGATGTGAAAGATCATTATTACCACAGACAAGTAGCATATGGTATTTGAGAGTGGGAATCTATAACAATAAAGCAAATTTGAAAACAACAATCCTTGCTGGTTCGGGTTCCTTTTCTCCAAGTTGAATTGGAGCCCTTTTTGCGTCACTGATGTGTCCTCTGTAGGAGCCTTCTCTGATCCTCACACATTGTCCTATATGATTCCACAGTTGTTTTTATGAAGGCACTGGCCCCATCACATATTTATCAGTGAACACAAATCAGAAGGACATGAAGAAAAAACCCCACTTCTATTATCCTAAAAGAAGATACTGATCAAGATGAGAGGAATATGAAAGTTTTCCAATATTCTGGGATGCAAGCTATTTATACCAATTCTTGGTGGCAATTTGGAAAAGCTACAAAATGCTGTGGTTAGCTGGCATAAAGATTACTGTCAAATGATTACTAATTTTACTTATAATGTTTGCAACAAAGACCAAAATATTTACATTTTTTCCTGAGGGAAGTTAGAAGAACCATGGGAGCCTGGAAGTCCTTGTGAGAACCGTGTCAGTTAAATATCCATGACTGAGAGGCAAACGTTGAGAAGTCACAATAAATGTACTAGATTGTAGCTATTAAAAGGAGAAAATGAATGCCCTGTTAGAGCCAAGTAGGCTAATGGCTCAAGAGATCATTGCCACTCTGGAATTCAGTGAGAGCAGTGTGGGAAATAAACACTAAAAATGTGAATTGCTACATGATTATACATCTATTCCAACCCCTGACATGCTTAAGGAAAACCTGAGGAAATGCTTTAGAGCAATGACTCATCTAGAGAACAAGCTGGGCAGTTATCTTTGGCCTAGGAGAGCCTGGGCACAGACTCACTCAGCCATAACTTAAGAGAATTTAATAGTTCATGATTATGGTGCATTTGGGAGAATATGTCCTCAACAAGATAATTATCTTTATGCTTTACGGTTTATTACTTGTTGAGAGATCATAATCAAAGCATCACCAAGCAGAGAACAGGGAAAATTAATGGTCAACCACAGACAGGTATCAAATTCTGCTATATCAAGAAAGAAAACTTTAGCTGGGCGTGGTGGCTCACGCCTGTAATCCTAGCA